CAGATGATCGAGCCCAAAGAACTCAATCTCGTGGTGGAGTAGCATTCTCTTACACCGATTTCGTCAGCGTATTCGAGAATCAGCATCCCAGAAACCCAATCTACACGGGTGAAACAATACCCTTCTCGCTCTAATGCGGGAAATGCCTCTAGCCCACATCAAGGGCCTGGCTTGGCTCGCTTGGCTACCATTCTTCACCACCATCTCTCAGGGGCGACAGCTTCAATGCTACCAAGCTCCGTCATGAAGCAGCTTGATCCTTGCTCTTTGGATATTTCTGAGTCGCGCAGGGGTCACCAAGCTCACCGGATCTAGTGCAATCTGCGTTCCCGCTCGATGTGATTTGCCCTCAATTCGAGATATCAAGTCCTATATCGCCTCCATTGCCTCAGTCTCCTCCCACGTAGCTGGTGCTTGCCTGATCTTCGTTTCTTTTCTTGTTTTTCAATCTTACATTCGTTTGCCACAGGCCAGGTGCCATTTCCATTTCATTGTATTTCATTTTTACCGTGCATCTCAAGTGTTTGATCATCTATCTACTGCTTCTCAAACTTTTCTCTGCTTTCAATTGACCAAGTATACGCCTAGAGGTCACTCTGGTTCCTGTTGTCATATCTCGGTGCTTTTTCATTTCATTCATCATCTTTTCTTGCCCTTTGATATTCCTGCCCTCTTTCAATACTTTCACATGACCTCGACATCGACATGGGAAACTAAGTCTACCAAGAAGGACAACGCGGTGCCGGCACTGTGAAGGCTTAGCGCCTGCCCCTTACTTGATAATCACCTCGGATTTGACCAGAAAACGACAACAACATGGACAACGACCCGACGATGGACTCGACCGGCTTTCAGTTCCAGGCAAATTCTACGTCAAAATGGGACAACGAACTCAAGTTTGCTGCAGCTGGCTCCGTCCGCACCTCGATCATCGTCCTATCGGTTTTTAACGTGATAGTAGCATTCGCAGTTACTATTAGTATTCTTCTACGCTCATGGAGAACACTGAAACAAGTCGAACCGATATGGGACTTCAAGTATGTACTGCATTTCCCGACCCGCGAGATTTTGTCCTCACAGTCACTCTTAGGTCGTCTTGGCTTCGGCTAGTCAAAGGACGAGATATTTACCCCTTCGTACTTTCCTGGGGCATTGTAGTTCAGGGAATTGTGTATGCTACTGCTCAAGCCAAGGGACTCGAGTCACTTATGATCCTTGGGTGTGCCACAACATCGCGAATGATGCTGCTAGGTATGTTAAAGAACAATGAGCTTTCACTTGAAGATACTAATCCAATTTAGCTTTTTTCATCGTACCCTTCATTCAGATGTTGTTCGGGCTGGAGTTGACAATCCGTATTACGAGGCCAGGCATATTCCCCTTCCGTGGCAAATTCAACACCCTTGCCTGTCTTGTAACCATCAGTATCTTGTTGATCATCGTGTTCTCCATAACCTTTACTGTTCTTCCATCGGAGTTTTGCTTTGCCAGTTTGATCTCTTTCCTACATCGATATGATGCCGGATGCTTTGGGGTCCTGCTCACTGTCATCCTGATAGTTCTGATTGAGTGCGGAGTTATATGCTTCAAGCTTCATACTGGTGCCAGAATGCGCATGATTGAGAGGGATGAGGCATCCCGCATGGTTTACCATATAATAATTGCTGTGATATCATATGTAAGTACGGATCCGAAAGTGATAGCTTGTACTAATTCCAAACAGACTTTGCAGATAACATTCTTCTACAATACGGCGTTCCGAGATACAGGAGCAGCAGACGATACGTCAATGACACTGAACATGATCGGAACAGTTGTAATGAACATGTCAGGACTATTGCTTGGCTGTCTGTATCTCTTCTTGCGATCAAGCAGATCCCCAACCGGTTGTTCTGATGACGACATTGAAGCGGCTCAGGGTTTCAGAAAATGGGGTGACGACCACGATCAAGAGCCCCCAACCCCCGGGTCTGCGATGCTACAGCCTCTTGATCTTCCCAAGCTGGTTCGCAAGGCTGAAAGCAAAGAAGATCTGACGCTGGACGACAGAGTGGAAGACAAGGTGTTTGGTGCACGCAAGGACTTCCTCAACCGTGGCCTGAAGCCCCTGCGATTGGGAAGTATGCGTAACTCAGGCGGTCTTCCAACCGCACCGAAACCTGTACGGACGTCATCAAAGGAGTCCATCAAAAACTTCAAGAGGAGTATGTACAGCATCTTTCCCAAAGCCGAGCCACCCAAGTCGCCCATCCTTTTGCCGACAACAACCTACAAAGATTCTACACCCAAAAAGCCACCAGCGCTTCAAAACTTAGCTGATGAACTTCTTGCACCGCCTGCCCTCCGTCTACGGGATAAAAGATTTCGGTCAAGTGGTGCTTCTATGCTCTCAACTGCAACTGTGCAGATTGGTCTGCGCCTTTCCAACATCGGCGATATGCGCCCCGCCAAACCGGAGCTCAAACTAGACACAAACACAAGCCAAGTGCACAACCTTGACTGTCCCAACAGCACAGTAAGGTTCTTCCCAAGAAAAACGAGTCCGCTTGCCATTGCCATCGTCGATGTCCCAGGCGAGGGCACTAGGTATAAGATCCAGGACAACTTTGATGAGAGACTATCCGAGAAGGAACTTCCACCAGTTCCTCTCAGCGCGGGTATGAATACTCCGCCGGAGACAACTCTCAGTTCCGCTGTATATAGCCCCCAGGAGAAAACGCCCGTCTCAGCCTCGCATAATCCTAGGGCTGGATTAGTCAGTTCTGTAAGAGCTCATAGCCGACAGGGCTCAAAAAGTATGGGAGAGCCAAGCAGACTTGCCAGCCGTCAGAGCTCTAGGGTCGTGCCAGAGATTGGCAGAATGCACAGCCGACAAGGCTCAAGGGCTGGGCCAGAGACGGGTAGAGTACATAGTCGCCAAGGCTCAAGAATTGACTTAGAGGCAACAAAAGGAAAAGGACCATGGATTTGATAGAGGACAAAACGGTTTGGGCAACTGGAGAGGATGACGATTTCATGAACGGTTTGGCAACTGTAACGATTCCCTTGTGTTTTTATTTCTTCATATTTAGGCCGTGTTTGAAACTAGCGTCGACGTTTGGTCCCTTTTATATATAGATAATACCAGAAGATTAGGTGGACACACTCAGGAACATGTCCCATGCCGGAAGGCCAACTTCGGCGAGCATGGTCTCGTGGAATCCAGGATATACTGGTGATGATGATAATAGTCAATCTCTCATGTGATTGTTGTTATCAATTAATTGATGACTATCTGTCTTTCTTTATCGTTTGAGCAGCAGCTCTCCTCTTCTCCCACTTCTCCCAGCCAGCCTGGCACATGTCCTCTTCAATGACAAGATCCCTAACTTTGAAAGCTCTCGCCAAAGGCGTCTCTAGAGCCCAGTTTAACCAGCCGGTTTGCCTCGCGGCAGCGACAATTATAAACCAACCGAGAGCGCTTAAGACACCTGCAACACTACCCACAACGACCTGTTTAGGGGTATGGTAGTTCAAGTATACTCTACTCCATGCAGTCGCTGCCGCAATCGCCGCCCCAGCTACACTGACAGCAACTCTCTCGAGAACGCTCCACGGTCGGTGCAAGCTACTTTCTGCACGAAGACGATGTACACGAGGCGGTTTGTGGCGGACAAGCAGGAACAGAGCGAGGGAGACACTCCAGAAGGCAACGAATTGTGCGTGGGAACTAGGCATACCGTAGCCCTTGCCGTGTATGCGACGAGGACGCTCTTCTTTTATCAGCCGTTTCAAGGCAAAGTTGAGCACCTCGCAGGCAAGTTGACCGAGAAACATCAAGGCGACTTCGACCTCGCGGGTAAAAAGGACGAGCGTGGCGTAAACGACGCATAGGGCTTGGGGGAGGAGGGCGAGGTAGGCGCAGGCTAGGGAGATATGATCGTCGGGGTCCTATTTGAGATTGTTATTTGCAGGGCTTTGTGCGGTGGGTGCGAAACTTACGTAGTAGACGTGGGTGACGGAGAGAGAAGCGAGGGGAGTTGAACTGTCGTCCATGATGGGCTGGCTATGTGCGGTGTCCGAGAGATTCAAGATATAGCCAGAGGCTGCATTCTCCACGTAGGGCACCACAGTGGTCTCTGATTGGCACAGTTTGTATCAAACAAAGGAAACAAAACAAAAAACAGAGAAGAGACTCGAGGCAATCACGAGTGAACAGCAACGGAAATGTGAAATAAATCCCAAGTTTTAGCTTGTGTCGTAGCCTGTAGATGACGATGTAGCCCGCCGGCTGTGGCTGCATATGTGGCTCAGGCAGGAGAAAATAACGTGGCGTCTCGGATTTCGGAGTCTCTTATTTGTCAACGCTGTGAATACCGGATACCGAAACAAGGCGTTACCACATTCAAGCACGGCCAAAGAGTCATCAAACTACGTTACTTTACAATGCTATATCAGGCGTGAATAATATCGTCCCATTTTATTCATAGCCGAAGATTGCGTTTGACTCTTTACAATCCGGCGTCAGTCACTTGAAGGCCATTCCGAAGTAGCCCTATCTACTAAATCTTGGGTACTATCTTTAAAAAAAAACCCTCTCCTCCCCCCCTCTCTACGTAAAGTACCTCCACCAAAGAAGCACCTCATGTTCGAGTCTTGATAAGGAAGAACGAGAATGAGACTAAAATGATGGAGGCCTAGCAGAAACTCATTAATAAGGGCTGGTCAATTTGAGGGCCCTTGGTATTTGGCATACTTACTCAGCCTCGCCACTCTGGACAAAGTTTGCTGAAGTTCATCGCCTACATATACACTACGCCACTAGAGGATGAACACTGCTCCCAAGGCATAACAACCCATAGCAGTCCCGAGGTGTCCAAAGATTCAAGGTCAATAAAAGGGGGCAAAAAGAAAACACTAGCCAAGGAACCTGCCAAGTGTGTTCTGAGCCATCTCTCTGATCTTGTCTGAATATCCGGTGTCCTGACGGAGCTGTGAGGGTTTCCTATCCCCCAACAGCCATGGACTATAGCGACGACCCACGTCTTATAGAGCTTGGCTCTATTGAGGCTATATACCCAGAGATCCGACGCCCTGACGCAAAAGACCCCTTCACCTTCGAGATAGATCTCCCCGTGGAGCCCGCCGCTCCAGTTACTGTCACTTTCCCAGCGGCTTCTGCACCCGCCCACACAGGACTCACTACACTTGGCCAAGCTACTGAGAATGCCCAGCCTGAGGTTGATTCTCTCGAAGTCTCGTTCCTGCCCCCTCTGCGGTTGAGAGTCTGTCTCCCAGAGGGTTACCCTGCAGATGCGCCACCAGACATTGTGGTATCGACCATACCACAGTGGTTGTCGAGGGAAACTATCAAACGACTTGAGGATGATGGGCCGCGCTTATGGGACGAGATTGGTCGGGACATGGTTGCATTTACTTACATCGACCATATTCAGCGCGCAGCTGAAGACGTGTTTGGAACCATCAGTCCTGAGGGAACGCTTCAGGTTGATCCACAACATAAACTCGCCGTGCTGGATCACGATATAAAGGCCAAGAAGGCTGCTTTTGAAAAGGAGACATTTGATTGTGGTGTCTGTCTCGGTATGTGTATTCAGCAGGGATCCTCAGTCACGTACTGACATTATACAGATCCCAAAAAGGGCTCGAAGTGTCACAGAATGCTTGACTGTGGACATATATTCTGCATTCAATGCTTACAGGACTTCTACAACGACGCAATCAAGGAGGGCAACCTTTCTACTGTTCGTTGTCTGAGCCCTAACTGCGCCAAGAAGCGTGCAGCGTCGAAAGACACCAAGAATCATAAGGTTGCTATCAGCCCTAGCGAGCTTCTTCAGATTGGTCTCTCCGAGGAAATGGTCAAGCGATACGTGACGCTCAAGTACAAGACAGAACTCGAGTCTGACAAAAACACAATATACTGTCCACGACAGTGGTGTAATGGAGCAGCCCGATCGAAACGCCACAAGAAGCCGGAAGGTTTGGAGTTTGCTGAGACGTCTGATGCTGAATCCGTCAAGGAGGAAGAAGAACAAAAAGAACAAGAACAAGGAGGGGGTAGTGCCAAGTCTGGAAAAAGGAAGACTAAGGAAACATTTAGCAAAGCGGATCTCTTGGCTATATGCGAAGACTGTGGCTTCGCCTTCTGTGGCCAATGCTACCAGTCATGGCACGGAGAGTTTGTCCGATGTGCACCACGACGTGACAAGGGAGAACTCAGCGAGGAGGAAAAAGCATCACTCGAGTACCTACAGCTTCACACGAGTCCATGCCCTACATGCAACGCCCCTGCGCAGAAGACACACGGCTGCAACCACATGATCTGCTCACGATGCGACACTCATTTCTGCTATCTATGCTCCTCATGGCTTGACCCGGTGAATCCATACCAGCACTACAATCAGCTGGCGGGCGGCAAGGTCACTTCCTGTTACATGCGGCTGTGGGAACTTGAGGGTGGCGATGGCGACGACGTGGGTTTAGGGTTCGTTGGTGGCCGCGGTCCCGTCGCAGATGCTCCCGCGGCACTCGATGATATTGAGCTTATGCCTCTGCCGGAAGTTATCGAGTCTGATGACAGTGACGGCGAGGACGAAGCTAATGCCCAGGGCAACAACAGACCGCTTGGAGGCCAGGGCCAAGGTATCGAGATTGCACGTGAAGGACCCCTCGTTATACGACTCGTTGACAATCAAGCTCGCGATGGTCGAAGAGCTATTCCTCCCGCTGCACCCGACGCACCGCAACAACTTGCGGGCCGCGGCCATAATGGCCCACCTCGAGGTCCAGCGGGGCGAGGGCGCGGCGCAAGAGGGGCTGGGAGAGTAGGAGGCGCGGTAGCCCGAGGAAGAGGAGGAGGAGGAGGAGGGGCTCGTGGCGGAGGAGCTGGTGCTAATCGTCAACGAGTGAACCAGCGACAACCTCAACTTCCTCAGCAGGCACAGGGCCAGGATGAGAATAACCAGGATGGTCTGGATCCGGCACAGGAGGCCTGGGTTCGTCGATTTGTGCAGATGGCACTCAACGATGAAGAGGACCTCGTTGATGGTGATTCTGATGAAGAAGATGATAATTGGGTCATTCGGTGACATCTGTCCTCAGACAGGTTCCCGATCACGCCAAGCGCTGTACGGATGGCAATTCGCGGCTCCGCAGTAACGACTCAAGGTGGTTAAACGATACTGTGAGTTCTCTAGATACTGTACATTTAGGGAATCATTAGATGTGTCCTGTAGGAAATGCATGCATGATCTACCACCTCCACCGAGACCAAGGTCCTAGGATGATGTCAACCGGGCTTTGCTACGGCAATACATATTTGACTATGTATGACTACTCACACTCACAGCAAGTATCTTGCTACGAGAATCAAGTTCTACTTGCCAAAGGACGACGCCAACCTGGATCGGCACGTTAGTCCTAACCCATACCCCCCATTCCATTCAGCACACGTCGGATTCTCGATTCATGTCTGCAATCGAGAATCTTCGGTATCAAAGATAGGCTCCGCTGCAGCAACCCAAATTCGTCCTTGACAGCCGCCGTTGGACATGTGGAGTGTGTATGTACTTGAGACTGTTCTGGTTGGGCGACCTGCTGATTACTCAAACATGGCCGTATGCCTAGCATTCCAAATTACAAGAACTCATTTAGACTTGTGGGAAATGCTCCGATTCTGAAAGACAAAGCATGATGCTTCGTCAGTTACCGAAGGCAAACGTGGGCTCCTCCACCTGCATGGAGATTGTAAGGTAACGTCAAGTAGACCGCCAGTCGGGATTTTCACTCGGCAGACGACCCTGATCCTGGACAGCTCGACTGGCCATGGAGATGGTGTAATTATCCTATATCGGGTTGTTCTGTTGTGTTTTGTTCCAAGACTGCTGTTGATCAAAATGGAGAAATAGTCCTTTGCTCACTTGAGACAGCTGACCAATGTGTGCCTTGATACCGTATCCTCTGGCACTATAGTGAGCTGGCTTGCCGATCGACACTGTGACCCTTGAAGATGTAGACGTAGTCAAGGACGACAACCATAAAGTCAACCCTGTACCTCTTCTCTCACAAGACGGCGGGACGGTCCAAGTCGACGTGTCCAGCACATCAAGGAACATTTGCAACAAAAGATAAAAGATGAGAGATAACCCGTCCGCTTCTTGACTCCAGAGGTCATAGCACAAACTAAACGAGATCTAGATATCAAGATCAGGATATGTAAAAGAACCTACCGCTAGCCACATGATGACCTGTCGGTCGATGCCAAGTACAAAGACACCCTCTTCAAGCGGACACTGCTCCGGCCGACAGAAGGTCCAACAGCTAACGCGAGGGAAAGGCGCAAGCGTGCTCGAGCCTTTGTTCACGTGGTGTCGCACGGGATCACCATCTTTGTTGCTTGATAAGACAACAGCTGCTGGTATACTGTACATACGTATCCAGACCTGCTGGCATCAAGGGTTAATGCCTGGATAATAAGCCGTGATATGCCGTGTTAGCCTTGAATTTGCCTTGATACCTCGTCTCTAAACTGCCGGCAATGTCGCTGCCGACCATGAAGCTCACTATGTCGAAACTCTATGACCTAACAGGGATTTAGGTGCAGCAGCTTGCAGACGCCGCCCTCCTCACAGCTATTGCATACGTGCGCGCAAATCCGTGCACAGACTTGACAGGTAGACTCGACCTTTAGCCAACAATGATAACATTGATTGTGATTGTTGACGGGTCTGGGGCTCTGGGTTGACAGTCACAGAACATGGCACTCATTAGTGAGACACATGGTTTTACTATAGTATATATGTTGTTACCAGGCAGTTTAGCTTTGTTTCAGACATGACAAGAGACGTATCGAATTCGTTTGCCGGCTGGTCCTCCTTACCAGGGAATAGCATCCAAGAAGCAGAAAGTAACACTGGCAGTAGCCAGCAATCTCGTTGCTGGATAATGCGGCAGTGTCTCTTGGAACGAGCTGATCCTTATCCAGCCTCAAGATCACTGTCCCCAATGACGTGGTAAAAAAATCATCAATGAAGGTTAATGACCTCTGGTACCCAGGATAGGCTGGCTCGGGAGCTCTACAAACCCTTGTTCTTGCTCTAGTGATCGGACCCTTTCCCATGCACACATGCCGCATGCGTGGTTGTCACTCTTTGTCCTTGTCGCAATTAAAAGGTACCTTTTGGCGCTCTCACATACGCCCTTAGTTTCTCGCCCAGATGCCCGTTTCTATAGTGGACCAGCGCATTCATGCTGAACTGAAATCAGCTCATCCGCATTGCATCGACTCGGACTGACGGGCGATCTCTCTCTATAAAGCCTCCCTGTGGGCGTTGCGTTGATCACCCACTGCCCCAATGCTACCGGATCTTGCCAACCAGGAGCCGCAAGCGTGCTCACGAAACACAAGTGTCTTGACATAAGTGCGGTAGGGCTGAGCTCGCAATACCACGTCAACGTCGAGCAGACTGGCTGATGCAGGTACACGGATCAAGCGAAGCCTTCAAAGCGAACCTATTCCTTTAGAGGCATTTTCGTACTTGGATATAACGCACTGTAGCAAGTATCACAAGGATTTTCTGGCACAAGGAAACTCGGAAGTAACTGGCCAGTGAGTTAGTGGGCCAACGAAATGGAATAGCAAGGATGCCTCTTCTCACAAAGTTGATTAGAGCATCTAGGAAATGACGATTAACTAGCGTGAGTTTGTACTCTGGATGCAGGCAGAAGCGACATACTGTAAATGGCCTGATGTTTGAAAAATCTCGGGACTGTTCATCCCCGCGGCAAGGCCGCATAATTAATTGCACAACTCAACTTGTGCAGTATCAAAGTTGATAGGTATCTTTCCTAAGGTACTTGCATAGTTAGTCACAGTATGCAAGTAGAACGCAGACCTACATTTATATTTCTTCAAGGGTCTCTGCTAGCCTGGGCTTGTTAGCTCAACAAAGGTGCCGATCGGTAGCTGGGGAGTCAACTGTATGCAATGTTTCGTTTCATTGCCTAATTGTTTCTTGCCCCCTCTGCTACTCAAACCCCGGGTCGTCGCATGAAAGGACGAGGAACTGCAGCAAGGCGGTTGTCTATCGCAAGGACCAAGCCTCTGGTACAGTTGATGGAGTTCAATTGGAGCCAATTCAACACTCTACCTGGCTATCTATAACCGAAACCCGTCAAATGGATATTTACTGTAGGTATTGAGATCGGTTCAAGCCTATGGTAGCCACAAATCAGGGATCAGCATGAACCAAGGCTACCAAGCACTTCTGATCTGGGACCAAGGACTGAAGAATTGGGATCAGGACCACAAACTCATCTCGCTGAATTCTATCGACTTCATGCGCATTAATTCGTATAATTTCGTCCACTCAGGGGAGCGATTCTGAATCGGTCCATATGCATCGTTTGCATGGTTCCGAGATGAATCGCTTTCCTGATTCAAACAAAGGTGATCAAGAGCCGGGTCTTCGATCGGCGTTTAATGTTCAGTTCAACGACGGAGCCTGGCCAAGGGATAATGAGCTATTACCCAAAGTGAGTTAAGTATCTCCCAGTCAAGGTTGAGGAGGGACGATCAGCATCCCGAAAGGGACTACCGGCCGGAGAGACAAGGCCCAAGGCAGTCCAAGGCACGCCAGTTCTAGCTCACTCGACCTAAACCCGGAGATATGTGGACCTTTGTGCTTGAGACAGCAGGGGGCGGGACCCGTCGGCAGCCATCAAGGACAACGCTAAAACTGAATGCCAGCAGGGAAGCCAATCGACTCAGCTTCCTAAGCTCATGGCACTGTGGGCGTTCAACTGCCGCGATCTGCTGGCGCGTTGCAACGTCTGTGGTTACGCTGCGGTTGAGGAACCAGTAACCATTGCCGTCTCAGCTCTATCCCGCCCCCTCCAACGGCCACGTTTATGAAACATTCCGATAATGTTTCTCTCTCACTGCTGAGCAGAAGCGCAAGGCAGAAGCAGACCACGACCCTGACGCAGTGACACAAACCATGGGCGGGTTCCCTAATGATGGTTCTGACATTTGTGCATGGATGCAGCAGGTTGTCCTACCTACACCTTTAAGTATGCACCTGCAGGACCGTTTTAGCGACTTTTCGGGGTGGACCAATCAAGTGTCGGTTATATTGCCCGTCAATTCAAGTGCTGCAAAAGCCTGCTGATAACTATCATAATACCCGTGTATTAAGATCATGGATGTGCGAAACACAATTTCGGAGTCCACATTGCCAGAATAGTCGCCCAGTTCGCAGTATCGGCCCCTTTGTTGGAGGATACCGTGTACATACCAGGCTGCGCAACGTTTCTTGCAGTGCTCACTCATCATTTGTCATGTCCAGGACTAGAATCGCCTCCTAAAGGGTTCTTGAGCTCTGGAAAGGTCAGGTCACCTGCCAGATTGAACAGATTCCTAGTCGCAAAAGTCAACTGTGAACAACCTAACTGCTCCCATAGTTAATAAATGGAAACAGACTGACAGCGAAAGGAAGAGGGAGGGGGGGAAGCTCAAAAATGGTGGCTGCTTCATAGTGAAAGGCTGAGCCATCCTAATGAAGCTATCTGCATTTACTCCAACGTTGCTTTGAAGGCAGGAGACGCAATGGCCTGCCAGATCTCAAAAAATCGCCGTGGCCACCTGGGATGGTTACATCGAGTGATTGGCGGCGGGACAGGGCACTTGTGAATAAGGGAGCTACCACTCAAAGGGTGTCTGGGCGCGTGTCTCAGGAGGAACAGTTGACCGGCGAAATTCAATTCCTTGCTTGTTTGAGTTGGGGTTTGAAGCTGTACGGAGTATGCCTTTTAGGGTACAGTAGTTCCAGGACATGGCGCGGGCTTGGCAGCCTCGTTTGCTTACAAGCCTCGATCGATAGATAATGCTATACACACACATTCTTCATGGGTGGTTAGAAGTGTCAGATGGTGGTATGTATTACTGTTGATACGGGAACGAATGGGGAGGATAGTTGGCCACCCTCCTCCGAACAAGGACGGGATACAAGACTGCGCAAGGCATGTGAGTATGATGAACTGCGCGCAAGAGGACGTGGTATTGAATGCTCAATAATTATCCTCCTATCCG